TTTTGACAATTTTGGCCGTATGGCATGCACATTTTGTGTGAATTCTTAAATGAATAAACAGGTTTTTAAATACTTAGCTTTAGAAATAGCTGGAATATGTGAATGCAGAAATGCCATTTTATATGAATTTGAGAGACATCGGATCATGTTTTTTGGAGTCCTTGCCAAAACATTCCTCTTGCTAAACGAATGTGGACAGGAAAGCTCATTCTAAAAGTTTCACTGATTGTTGTTTCTAATTGTGGTGTACAATACGTATTGTGTTATTTTTTCCGAAACTAATTCGTTTTAGTTTTGGGTTTGTCAGATGCCAAAGTCAGCAATTATAAAACTTTGGTTGTTTATGTTAAAACATTAATTCATTCTTTGATATTAATTAATTTATGTAATAAATTGTTTCATTATTCAATTAATTCATGTAAACTGAATTAAAACTAAGAATTTAGAATAGTAACTGTAAAGACCATCTGCTATGAAATTAAACTTTAAACATAAATTTATTATGTAGCAACAGATGTATGAGAGCTTAAAAAGTGAATTCTTTTTTTTGAAAAAATAGATGCTGAATATGGAACATATTGTAAATAAACACATAATGTAAATAAGTACATATTTATGCATCAAAAGTTTTGAAAAACGCACTTATAAATATGTATTATAAAGAAGCGATAAATAAATAATAAACTAACAGAATACATAACAAACAGAATAACAGAATACATAACAAAGTTAAAAAAATTAAGAAGTGTTAAATGTCTCAGTGTACATTTTATAAATGATTCTCGCTTATTATCATCGCAAAGCATTTAAAGGTTAATCTCTAAGCAACAAAAAATTTTCTTTTGAGCTGATGTTTTCAATGTAAAATCCTTGAGATCACTATATGTGACAGACAATGACCGCTTTTTGTATCCTTCCGCTAATCTGGAAGAATGCCTCTCAGGGGCTCGCATGAGACAATGTATGGCGCCGGGTTTGAATTTAGATCTTGAATTAGTAGGTTGCGATTCAACAAAAGCGTTTACCAAGGTTAAGAGAACTTCTCACCTGAGCAGACGGAAAGGTGGTTACTTTAAGTGATGCAAATTTAGAAAATGGCATTATCGAGAAAGATATTAGATCAGATCCAAAAATAGTGAGCACTTCAACTAAGCTCTAGAACTAGAAATCAAATAGATTTTCATCACTAAATATTTAGCAAAAATTAGCCGTTTGTTAAAAAAAAAAAAAAAAAAAAAAAAATCTGAAATGTTTCAGATTTTAAATTACGTCCAAATTAAATTACGTTTTTTTTAACATTTTGTGCGTTATCTTTATTTGTTAAACATCATGTTCTTCGTACTTAAACCATAAAATTCAATTCAAGAGGAATATCGCAAAATAGTTTTAAAATGAGCATATCTTTAGAATTTCCGATACAAAAACTCACGCGCCGGAGATAAAAATGTTTTTTCTGCATAACGTTGCCATTGCTCGCTTTGAAATCCTTGAGTTTGTTAATCAAAAATTCGTCAAAGTTTTAAAAAATAGGAAATCGATCATAAAACAAATTTCAAATTTGGTCTTCCACATGCTCATATTCGTTGGAGGATTACGTTATTCAAAATTCGATGACTCTATGTACCATTGTGTTTATCACAATACGAGAAATATACATACATTTATGCAGATTTTTCATTATTTAATTTCTTCAAATATAATGCAGGACTCTAACATTTTGTGGCAACAGTTTTAAAAGTGAAACCGACGTTTATGAGTCCGACGCAAAATGCCAAAACGAAACTAATAGTCCTTCGGGATTCAAATCCCTTTGGACTTAAAAAAAAAAAAAAAAAACATTAATCAACTTCAAAAATTACATTTTACGTCTGAAGAAATGTTTTTTAACCATTAAGATTTGAGCCGTTAATTAAAAGAATGCTTTATAAATATTCTTTAAAACGGATCCCGTTTCTTTGGTACGAGAGAACACATATTATGATGTTTTCTTATGTAGTTAAAAAAAAAACTTGTATTTTACGTTCAAAGCAAATGTTGAGGCCACCTGTATTTTTCGGAGGTTATCTGGGGAAAGGTGAATAAAATTTATAGCGATTAAAATTTTATATTAATTCATTTAATTAAATTGCATTATATTTCGCTTAAATAATAACGGTACATTTAAAAATAACATTTACAGTTCAGTTTTAATTTGCTAGACATGTAAATGTAATTGTTTCCTTACCTGAATATTGATACTTTTTATGTTGTACATCATAGAATGAAATTTGTTTCTATACTGTTACTGATACTTTTATATTATAATGTTGAAAACAATTTGAGGAACAGAATTTAACGAAGCTAATAGAATGCAGGAATTTGAATTTAAGTTGTGAGGGACTGTTTTTCCTTACCGTGTGCCTTCGTGGTGCAATCGGAAGTCCATCCGACTAGAGTTGAAAGACTCGGAGGAATTCGAACTCCTGCGAGGCCACTGCTGATTTTCGAATATGATTAGAAAAGTAAGTATTTAAGAAACTGGAAAGAAAATTCGGAAGGGAAACTGATAAAGCATGCCGTAATGGTGGAAGATTTAAATTCAAGGTTAAAACGGGAAGTGTGCTTAGTGTTTATTATATTATGTAACCATTCTGGCTGTATATCGCATGTTACTAATATTTGCCAACTGATTGGAAGGAGAGCGTAAAATACACTCTGTGCCTTCATTAGTTTCATGATCTAATTTAGCCTGACGCAACTGTAAGTGCTTGTAGGCTTATGTTGTAACTTTGTAGGGTTTATATTTATTTTAACTAACATTTATTTTAAGTTTAAACTATCTTTCCTGTCAAGCCTTACTTTCCCCTGGAACTGCCAATGCCAGAGTATGTAAATTTTAGTAGAACGCGCAAGGATTCAAATTATCAGCGGAAGTATTCTGAGTTAAATAGAAAGGAAACGAGTTCGTAGGTGTGCTTTCTTGCTTCTCGAGTGTGGAGGTGGCTAGTTAGAAATTGAAGAACCACGTGTTTCGGCCTGTTTGCTTGCCTCGGCGAATTGTTAATCTTTCAACGTAATATTCAGAGTTTGCTGAATTATCAGCGGTATTGTAAAACGCGGTGACGTTAGTTACGTTTAGAGAGCCTCGTAGTTAGTTACTTGTTAGTATCTCTTTTTAGTTTCTTATTTTTATTTTACCGCCGGGTCGGCGTAGTTTGTGAGCGTCAAGAGCACGCATTTGTAACTTCTAAAGTTGAATAAAAAGGGACTTAAACCCTTCTCAAGACTCTGTCTAATTTCCAGTTTTCAGCAGTCACCACTTTGTTGCGTGCAGGTTGGAAGCGCGCAACTTTACAACTTATAAAACTATACTGTAGAGAAAACATAATACAATCAAACCGCAACATTTCCTTGGATATAATCGATACTTATTTCGGAGGCTTTGCTGGTACTTTGTCTCATTGCCATTCTGAAAATGTATATGGAGTTCTTCAAAATTAAAGATATGTTCTGCTAGTTTTGGCGTGGAAGTAGTAGGGTCAGATCTTCACACATCCCCCATAAAAAGGTCAATATAGAAAACGTTCAAGCAGAATATGATGCAGTGTTCGATAAGTGAATACCAGATTCATACTGTTGGAACAGTTGCTTGTTAGCAGTGGCTGTCAGATTGCTCAATGACTGGTTGTAATTAGGCCAAACATTATCTAGTCTTGCATACGTTTGATAACAATGCATTGACCTTAGCCTCTAGGCAGCACGCGACATTTTCTCGATGGAATCTGCATTTAACTATTCACGACTTATGGTACATTAAAATCAAGCGTATGTTTTGTTATTCAGCGAACGGTTTCAAGTATTTCAGTGGTTCTTTCATCTATCATAAAGTGGCGTCTTGTCATCAGGAAACATCAGACAGTTAGGTAGTTTTATTCCTTGCACTGGCCGGATACGTATTTAAAAAACAATGAATTAAAATATAGAAATTTAACTTCATTCGGCCATCATGACATGCTGGACTGTAATAAAAGTTAGCAAAAGTTGACTGCTAATCTGAAATGATGAATACGTGTGTTCGACCCCCCTCCCCCCACATGAGGCTTATAGGGTTATCGCATATAGCTATGTGTGACGCTATAAGAAACTTTTATGAGAAACTTGTTTCTTCAACATTAATTTAAACAGAAGGTTTGTAACGGAAACAGTTGCGTGACGCTTTTAGGGTATATTACGATGCTGAGGAAAGTGCATTATACTTTCGCCTGGAAGAGGAAGGAGAGAAGAACTTCTAGAAGGTCTTTGCGCATGTTAACCAGTCAAATTTGCTGGAAACGAAGCAAATTTGACTGGTTTTATTAGCTTCTGGAAATGTTGCTTTCGATGCGCTACTGAGGGTAGCTAGCAGGCCTAATAGCAGTTTTAGTTGTATGCGTGTGGTTTCTCCACTTCTCATGGCTGCAGTATGGGTCTACCCCATGAGATGTACACTAGGCAACGTTCTCAGTAATGAGACGGCTAAGTGATCGTTTGGTTAGGCCATTCATGGCGAATGCTTTCAAGCAAATATTCGGCCGTTGGATGGAATTGGAGAGATTGGGGGAAGAAAAGAAATTTTTCCTATCAGTATTACGTCTCTTCGTTTTATTAGCTTCTGACAGGAATGACGTGGCACTGGAGCAGTTTTCTTGATTTTTAGATGCTTCAGATATGCTAATATGAATGTTACAGAGTTTACGTGATTCACGATAATTCTAATTGCTTCTTAATTTTACGAGGAGTTTTAAAAATAATGAAACAAAGTGTATCAGCTTATTAAGCGTACTTTAAAGCTCCGTTTTCGAAATGTTATAAATGTTGCTTATTAAACAAATACCAATTCTTTTGAGCAATGAAGAATAATCTATGACTTGCTGATCTTCTAAAACTATTAGGTAGAAAATGAGATATAAGTCACTTTACATTTTCTTTAAACTCCTAGATTTCCATTCTTATAGCAATAAATGTTTTAATAAAAGGGAGTTGTTTTTTATTTACTGTTAATTTAAAACTGTTTTTTTAACAGAGTATTGATGTGTACGTTGCCATTATGGATTTTAAGCCGATGGAGAGCGATGAGGAAGCGGTAGCAATGAAGGAAGGACAACAGGTTGAAATTATCGACGCTTCAAAGCCTAGGAGGTAAATAACTATATTTTCCTTCTATAATAGTACTCATTCTACGAAGTTTGTTTTCATTTTTATATTTTTAATCAAATGTTTCGATGATTTTATTTCTAATGATAATAATGAAGCTGTCATTTAAAATATTAATCAAGGCTGTGGTTAGTTAAAAAGTGTAATGCTGAAAACGAATTATATACGACAACTCTGTTTGTCTACAATATTTAAGATGATCACTATAATTGTTTCAGTCAGAGAAAAAATAATAAAACAGGAGTGTTTGGAACTTTAAGAATCATAGTCAACTACGTCGCATCTTTCAAGTTGTTATGCCGATATGTTTCTTTATTTAATTCTGACATTTCTAAATAAAAGGTGTTCGAAAAAGGTGACTGTTGATTTTAATTTCGGAAATACTGATCTTAAACGTATACTTTTCTTACAAAATTTCTTAGCATTAAGTGCAAAAAACGCTCGCGCCGTGAAGATATCCGTTAAGAAATTCAAGCTTTGATTAGTTCCCGTAAAATATAAAGTGTAATTAATTAATTAAAAAAACTATTTTGTTACTTATAAATTTTGTTTAAGGTAATTAATGAATAATAAAATGGAAAAAATATACATTATACTTTAATACGTTAGAGTAAACATTCTCCAAAATACGTTTAATAAGCAAATCGAAGTGGCCAACTATAAATTTAACAATGTGTACTTTTATATCTGTGATGGAACTGGGAAACCAAAATGAGTAACTTTTATTTCGTGACTGCTTCGTGAATTTTTTGTTAGTTATTGAATTTCTTTGAAAAAAGGTACAGTGAAATCATTTAAATCAGCATATTTGTTGTTAAATATTTCGATAAATGTTTACAAAGCAAGTACATAGAACCTTTTTTTGTTTTTAATTCACAGCATTTAGAATTACTTTATAAAAATATACCCCTTAAAATTTTTTTTAATATCTTTTTAAAGTTTGAAGTGTATACCTACAGATCAATGGTTAAGAAAAGATTAAGCCCGTAGTTGCTGTTGACAAACAGCCTGTGTGATTATAGGTTTTACTTATTGCTGTTATAGATTGCTGCAAATATGTTTCAGAAACTAAAATGATGCAATAGTGGCGTACAAATTTTTTGTTTTTATCTTTTTTCTGTCTAGGACGTTAAAAAGTTTCCTTTCATACACATGGAAAAGCAGCAGAATCCTGACATAAAGAGCGATAGTATCTGTGGAAGGGGGAGGAAAAGTGCCTACCGTTTGTTATCTAGGAATGTTACAGTATTCATTGCCAAACCAAGTTTAAATTAGCTGAATCCTCTCTCCTACGCGTTCTACCTCTTCGAACACAAAAATGTCTTTCAAGACCTTTTGGCACGAAACATAAAAATCACCATGTGATCTTTCATTTTTTTCAGTGTTTTTATTATTCTGCCATTTCAAACGTTCTATTTGATTGCACCATTTTACTTCATTCTTAAACCTGAAAAACTCTGAGATTCTGTTTAAGATTTGCTATTATTAAATCTGAAACAATTTTGCCCCACAGTATTTAACACTAATATAAAACGTATTCTATATGAGAAACTTATTTTCTGAAATATAAAACATTAGGGCTGCGAGATATCATCTTTACAAGTTCCACTCTCTTGAGCAAATTTTTAGAATGCTGTTGTGATTATAAGCTATGTAATATGTATCTACATCTCTACAACTGCAAATGTGGCGTTCAAATGGCTAAAACTCATTTCTAATAATAGAATTGAAACATGGTGGCTAATTAAAGAATAAATAGCAAAAAAAAGTTGTAGTGTTACGTCATTTTTAATTTCAGTATTTCTTATTTAATTACTGCGATTAACCTTTTTAATATGAAGTTTCAGTTTATGAAATAGATGAGCCAAAATTCAGTTATTTCTTACTGATCTAATGATGAAATATCTTTATATATTCGTCTTAGGATAAATTTGTGCACTGCGCAAACTGGAATCAATTGCACTGCTCAGTTAAGTTAATAACCAATTACTTTTAATAAAAGAACTCGCAATCTTAAACCTGATATAACTCATTTCTGACAATATAACTCCTTTCTGACAATAGTATGGGAAGAATACACAAATTATATATTTACATGCTAAAAAGACAGGAGTTTCTTTTAATACGTGACTGTAAAACATTCAATAAATTTCGTAATTCAAAGAAATCCTGAAATTCCGATTCCGCGTAAACAATAAAAGTAATGCAAATCCTCAAATGCAATGCACATTGGACTAATTTATGGCAATTATTTTATTGCAAATTATTTTATTAAAGTGAAAGTTCTTAATTTGGCACATTCGACTGGCAGCACCACTCTGCATTTAGTATTGACATTTTATTCTGATTAATTACTCTATATTACAAATTTTTTAATTAATCTAGTTATGTATTAAAATATGATATTTTCATTAATTAATAAAAATGGAGTTAAAAGACATTTTAAGAACCAGAGATGTTATTCAGATGACGGCATTAAATATTTTTTCTGTTCGGGTCCTTTTTACTTCCTTGTACGAAATAAAGGAAGTATTGTAGTCACGAAAATTTCCGAGTTTCATATTTCGATGAAAATATCCATTTTGGCTGCTATCGAATGCAACTTAACGATGTTTTTGCGCGACATCTCTACGTAAGGACAGAATAAAGGACTCATTTCTCTCAAAGGAGTTATAAAACTGATTTAAAATTTAAGAAGAAGAGATTTCAGAAGAGATTTTTTTTTCATGGTGTCTGTACGTAAGTACGTATGTATGCATCTCGCGTAACTCAAAACGAGTAGCCTCAGAACGTTGAACTTATGTATATAGGACTGCTATAGCATGTAGTTGTGCACCTCCCTTTTTAGTTGCAATCGGCCTCACAATATATATATACCAACTCTGTTACTCGGCTCGATGAGCTCAGTTCGTTTTATTCTTATACTTGTATGTTGGTAAACTGTGCATTTTCTGCTTAAAAATTATTGAATTATGTTGTTCTTATCTTCGGATTAAGGTTTTTATACATTTAGTTAATCTGCATGCAATAGTTGTATTATCAACAATTTAAAAGTTGTTTAAGTGCGGCTAAGCCTAATTTTTGTTTTACCGTAGCAGCCATATTTGTTTACTTTTGAAACTTAGCAGAATAGTGAATTAAATCGTTTTGCGCCTTCAGTGTCTTTTTGCCGAGTGGGACCAAAAGGAAACTTTTAGTTTTGTGCACCGAAAAATCTGACTTCTTACCTGCTGGCCAAAATTCTTTGTTTTTACACAGAAACTGTAATTTTAATTGTAAAAAGGTTTTTCTTAATTTTTTTAACTGTATTTGTTTTTTTATATTTTTCAATATCTTTCAATTTTTAATGACGATATTTTGAGTTTTTATGTATTTTTGCTTTGCCGCGAAGTGAGAACTGAATTAATTGAATGAGAAATCTATCTCTAATGAAATTCGAGGAAATATGTTTAAATAAAATGCAGGAAAAAAATGCGTATAACTTAGTGTTCTAATACAGGGAAGTCATGGTGTACACATGAGGTTTTTTTAATTGTTATTATTATTTAGTTATGCATTTAAATGAGAAACGAGGTATTCTAATTTGGTGTTCAAATTTCATCAGTTTTTAGAGTTTTCTTCCTGCTAATGCGCTAAAATATAATACTTGACAATAATTTAAATTACTTTTGTAACCTGCACTATTTATTCCCGGAGAATTTTTATATTAGGAGAATACAATGTTTCACTTTTCATTTTTGTTGCATTTATTTTGGAAATTTTTGCCAATCTATGTTATATTGTTTAATGTTCATAAAAAAACTTATATGTGCATATAATCGATTAACTGTGTATTACATGTGTGCTATATATGTGTGTATGTTGCCGAAATAAATTAGTTTTTTTTTCGGGGGGGGATAAAATATTTGTCATTTGAAATGAGTTATAATGTAGAGAATGTAGCTTAGCTAATTTCCGTTCTACTACAGATTATTAATAAACGCTAAGTTAGACCTAAGAAACAGTTTGAAAAATGCTTAAATATGTATTCCTAAGCAAATTAAAATGTTTCCAACTTGATCTTTGAAATATAATTATTTTCGGAATGATATCTTTCTTAGATACGATTATTTATGCTCTCTAGTACTGATATTTACACTCGCTCCATCTGGTACAAATTTCTTTTCGCTCAAAGATCACGCTTGACTCTTCATACGAATAAAACTTTATATTATATGCGTCATAATATTACCTCTACTTAGCTAAATTTTATCTATTAAGGAAAAGTACGTTTTATGTCAGGATAAAATAACCGATTTGTTTGAAATTAGTTTCTGATTAGCTTCTCTTTTCATTCAGATGGCTGGTACGCACCCTGCCGATGAATGCTGACGAAACTCCGAAAGAGGGTTGGGTACCTGCCTGTTATTTGGAGAAGTCCACTGCATATGATACGCTCAGCAGCTATGTCGTAACAGAAGCTGAACTCGATCCTAAAGAATTAGAAGCAATACAAAACAGAGAGTGAGTATCTTTGATGCATTTTTTTTATGAAATATACAAGGCACAATATAAAGGGCAATTTTGTTTTTCTGATTTTTACTGAACGTTATAGTTTCATTTGAAAACCTATCTTTGAAATTCAGTTTTAAAACTTATGTATTATATTATCAATTTGTTTATATAGAAAATTTGAATGGTGAGTTGCTTAAATTTTAATTATATTACTATCGTTTTAGTTAAATGTTTTCTTTTCAATTGTATCATTTCTCATATTAAACAGGAAAGGAGATTCCCCCGCCTCCCAAAGAAAGGCTCATTTCGTTCTCCGAGAGTCTGGCTTTCACTAAACAGAAACAGATTTTATCACAGAAAAAAATCTTCTTTGATAGGCTGCTACCAGATGCAGTTATTACTAATTAAACTGTTAAATCAATATTATCTGAGCTTAGCTATATTTCTCCTCATTTTCAGTGAATTTTAATTATTAGTAATTCTCTAATTTTTCATTTGCTAGTTTAGTTAACGCTTTTCCTTTTTTATTATTTCAGATAAACAATTATGCCTTTTCTTTTTCCTATTGTTATGTATATAGAGAATAATTGCATTTAAAAAATATTACTTTTCCTAATTCTCGTGAAATAGGACATGCATGAATTATATGAAGATATAGTTTTACAGCACGCTGTCCTTAGTTCCGTTTTGAGATAGTAAGAATATTTCACGTTAATTAGTTATGGGTTTATAAGACTCCAGGTTCTGTACGAAAACAAAGTAACTGATTTTCAAGAAATTTTCATATTTTCAACAAATGTGAAATTTATTAGGAAAAGGTTTATGATTAAGAATAAATTATTATGACATCGAAATTGGGTTTATGTCTAAAAAATCCCTAAAAGACGTATTTTAGCTGTCATAATTTTTCTTTTCTCTGTTCCGTTCCATATTATTTTTCCCATTATAATAATTGTTATGTTCTTTCTGCTTTAGAGCGATTGTAAAGGAACTAGTAGAAACTGAGGAGGATTTTGCGAAGGACATGCAGTATGTTGTTGATAATTATTACAAACAAATGGACAACCCTAAGTTAGCTAAAGAATTTCGAGACAGAAAAGGATCCGTTTTTGGCAACTTCAAGGATATCTGCGATTTCCACAATAAGTAATTATTCTCATCTGTCTTGCAGTTTTTAATTAGTACTAAAAATCTTTTTAAATGCTTCTTTGTTCATGTTAACTTTGAATAGTTTATCATTTTAATGATTTTTATTTTTATTATATTCTAGGTAACAGTAATATTAATATGATGACATTTATTTTATAATTTCCTTGATTCACCATTTTGATTATAAATTTTTTACATTTGACACTCTATGAACTTCAACTTGCTAGCAAATAACATTTTACATATTTTTTTTCATTTGAATTTGGGGAATGATTTATAAGCATTTTAGACAGACTGTAATTTAAAACAGAAGTAACTAAATCATTTTGCTGAAATTATGTGTGAAATTGTAGTATTTTTTGTATAATGTAACATTAAATGCTTGAAAGAGAACATACTGTACCGGAAAAATTAGAATACAGGGCAAGTCTATTTAACACTGAGTAAATAGCTCTATTACTAAACTGGCGAGATATCGCCAAGCTGGCGATAGTTTTGGCAAATAATTTTTGTCCACAAATTCTGCGAGAAATCGCCAAAATTTTCCAAACTTGATGACTATTTGGCAATGTTTTGGTCCGGCCCCTGTATAACTTTAATGGGTATAAAATTGAATAACTGTAATAGATCCTATATGTAACTGTAATCGTATCGGGCCCTCATATGCCTTCTAGTAATTTCGAAAAGTGGAAGGTACTAGAGATTTTTGGTCGGCCGAGGGGGAGGAACTCTATAAGACCACAGAGAACATTTGTTTCTCAGCTGTTCTGTTCAGAGTCGACTTCGGAAAATTGAGATTATCTTCGTGTGAGCTTCGCTCTTCCGATGCGCTTTGCATTGCTTATGTTTAACGTTCTTAGTAGTTTGAAGTGTAACTGCTATGGTACTGAGAAGAGTTGTACGAGTACTTTTGTTGAAAGTTCCAAAACTTTAAAGTGTTCCTTTTGGTAAAATAAATTTTATCAGGCTATCATCGGTCCTCTGGGCATTCATTCTATTACGGACAGAACAATATCAATACACCGGTAAATCAGGGATTCCCAAACTTTTTCAGTTGTCGGCGCACTTAGAGATTTAGTATTTTGTCACGGCACCCTAGTCGTGTTCAACGAAGTGTACAAGTTTTGTGCTTTAAAGCCTGCTTACTACATAGTGTCTTAGCAAATCACAACACTTCACTAAATACGACTGTATATTAATACTAGTGACCAAACACAGAAATGAAAACAACCACAATTTGAGACTCATTTAGGTATATATTAAACACAAGAATATTATATTATTATTATTATTAAAGAAAAATAGGAAACAATCAATGGGACGGGTGAGCTTGCTGGTCTCCGCAAAGTTTTTTTTTTTTTTTTTCAAAGAAGAGTATGAGTTTTTAAAAGAGTTTTATAAGACTTGATACAGCCACTCTCATTTCTTGCTCCACGTTGATCTTTGAACGATATTCCCTCTTTATTACAGCTACAGCTGAAAATTTGGTGTCGCATAAATAGAATGTTGCAAAAGGAATGAGAACCGTTAAAGCTTTGGAACTTACAGTTGGACAGTTTTAGTAAGAGTTTGGTTCCGCAAAGTATATGGATTTTGCATGTCCTTCCTCTTGCAGTAAAAGTGTGAATTTCTTGATGTAGCTCGAATACACGGGATAAGACATTTCCACGTTAAAGCCATCGTGAACTGCAGTAATATAGCAGGGCTATGTGTTCAACTCTCATGTCCATGCAAATGATTTTGAATAGTTTGGTTTTCAACGGCTTAGTTTTTATGTAGTTTACTACGTCTATGGTACGTTCAATATCAAATTCAATTCACAGCTCATCGACTTCGATGCAAGTGCTTCCCTATGAATGATACAATGGGTCCACATAGCTTGCGGTGCTTTACTGCGAATAAGGGTTTGAAATTCTCCATACCTAGCAGGCATTGGTCGAGCGCCCTCAGTATACACACACTGATACACATTTCCCAATTTAAATTATTTTCTGTTATAAACTTGTCAAGAATTTCAAATAAGTTTTGAGCCTTTGCCCCTTCACTGATATTTTTACAAGAAGGTCTTCAACAATTACAGTATCATCTAGAAAACTTACGTAACAAATAAGGTATGCATTTATGTTGCCGTCAGTAGCCTCATCAAGTTATAGATCAAATTTTTTGCCTTTCATTTTCTCTATTAATTAGTCATTGAGTTCCTCGGTTATATGATGGATTCTTCGACTAACAGTGTTGTTAGATAAAGGTGCATCTGTAATTAGTTTTCCCGCCTATTCTTCTACCATAATAGTAACCATATCGACAGCAGCCGGTAAAATAAGTTCTGCGTTGATGTGAGGTTTCTTCCACTTCGCCACCCTGTGTGCCACCTTGAAAGATGCTAGCAGTGCTTTGCGAGGTACTGAGACTTGTTGAGTGAAAACGTTTTTTGCTTTTGTAAATTTTGCAACTTAGTACTAAAACTTTCGCGCGAATTTTCAACCATGGTAGTGTGAATGGTCTCCAGATGTCGTTTAGCTTACTTGGGAGCATACTCTTGAACGATAGAATTTATTCAAATGGAGCACACATTGCGGTCTTTGTTAGTTATTTACTTCTACTAAAATAAAGCCAAAGTTCAAATAGCACACATCGTATTTGCGATATTTCCGCTTTTTTGCTCCCTAGCCATTTCTCGAGGCTTGGCCACTCTGACTTGAACTGTCGACTTGCTTATTTAATAAAAACCTTTCAATTTCGTGACTAAGATTTTACAAAAATGCAAAACAGCAAAATTAAAACAAAGCAACCGAACTGCCCACATATATATATATATATTTAAATAGATATTATAATGTTTATCTGCTTGGGTTCGTAAATCACAATTTTCTATATCAGTACCAAGAGCACTTCATTGCTACCTCTATTTAACTTAACAATTTTAACTGCTTACGTTTACTATAAACGAACTTTTGCAATGCGGCCTACGGCGGCTTGTATGCTACCACTAAACAGCACTCGCGGCAACTCCTGTCGATGTGACACGACGGTTGAATGCGGGCATTTGGAAATCTCTCGCGTCGGCTAGCAAAGAATTTGGGCGTTGTCAAACCTAACTCAAAATTCCATATGCGGGAGGAGAGCGGTGTTGTCGGTTTCCTACTCAACAAGCGATTTATACAGCGCAAGCGATTTGAATTTAGATTTCGAAAAAGAGTAAACAAGATCACTCTTGACGGCGCCACACTTTGAGAACCCCTGCGATAAAATTAATTACAAATTTTATTTATTAACATAATAGAATTAATTATTTTATAAGCATTTCAATAGTTAAGCGCTATGGAATATTTCATATAGTTTTTAATAAGGTTTCGGATAATATCCTGCAAATTGTTTTATTTTATTAAATACTTGAAAAATTTCTTCACTCAAAATATTTCTTTTTATTTATTTCAGTGTACTTATGAAAGGAGTTCATTATCACGCTAAAGAACCAACCAAATTAGGAAAAACATTTTTGCGTCTGGTAAGTAGATTTAACTGAACTTTCACAATTTTAAGGTCTATTTTAAGGTAAAATTTTAAGGTCTATAAAAATAGCAGGAAATTGGAAACTTTCATCTCAGATGTCTTCTAACTTTTCGAGTTAAATTTCAGCATTCTAATATTTATCTCTATTTCTATTCATAGTTCTATTTACTGTTAACAAGAAAAGCATTTTTAACGTATCAGCTGCTTGGATGCATCTGTTTTAAGGTTATTAAAATTTCAATGAACATTGCGACAAAAATTAAAACATAGCATGGCACACATTATTTCTCTGATATAGGGAATGAAGGAGTGGTCGACTGATTAAGGTAAAACATGCAAAGTCTATCTCGCCTAAGAGAAGATGCCTTTTTGGAGGACTCTCTGAAAGAAACTGGATTTTGTTTACATTATCACAAAATCCCATTACAATCAGCCCGTTCAGCGGAACATGAACCCGGGTCTAACCGCCAGCTTTTGGCAATCTAATAGACTCGGTTAGTAGAGGGCTGACGCAAATAATTTCTTGCTTCTCCTATTTTGATTACGCTAATGTAATCATGAAATGTTTTAAAAAGAATTTTCACAGAAAATAAATGATTTGCTTCTACCCGAGTTATAATTCATCTATTTATGTACTTTAAAAAAAACTCGTTATCATAAAATGAGATTTCCTGTGCAGCTTTTACCGTTCGTTCTCTGTTATCTTAGCTTTAATGCTGCGTAAGTGTAATATTTAAAAAACAAGTGGGAGGGTGGGGAGTTATAAGTTGCAAATTTCGATTTCTATCGAATATTCTTAATTTGCATGTAACATTATATGCAAAATCAAAAGACTAAAATACAAATGCATAAAAAGAAAAGAAACCACATTGCAAAATGCAGAAATATAAACATGAAGTAAAAATGAAAATGCGAACAGAATTTAAATAAATCGATATGAATGTGACAACATTACTGTAAAATTATAACTATAATGTCCCGAAAAAAGTCATAAAAATTAAGAATTTCAGAAATCATGGTATTTAAAAACTGAAAAAGTCAAGATTAAAATATAATACTGTGAATGACGAAACTCGAAGTTTTTTAAAAAGTTATTTTTATTAATTAAGGTTAAGTTATTTAAATTAAAGTTATTTTTTAATTAAGGTTAAGTTTTTAAAATTAAAGTTAAGTTTTAAATTACAGTAATTAAAGTTAATTAAATAAAGTTCCTTAATAAGTTAAATAACTTTGTAATGAATATTATCTATGCTCATTGATAAACATTAAAATAATAAATGCGGTGATATTATATTCATGATTAAAAAAGGGATTTCAAATTTACTAAAACATTTTTAAGCAGAAAGAAGTGAAATAGTTTAAACTCCATAGCGAAGCAAAAAAAAAAAAAATCAGGCTTCTTGAAACAGATTTTAAAAATGCGTCTATCCTGTGCATGTAAAACATAAAATTGGATTGTTTTGACAATCAGTTCCGTTAAAAACTGCTTCAGAGATATAATGTGAAAGACCTAAAGATGGCTATGAGAAAAGAAACCGATTAAAGCGTAACTCCGTTATGAGGGGAGTTACAGTCTGAGCTTTGTTGTGCACATTTCATTTTAAAATTATAAAATAAAATGTATTTCTTCAGTTACTCTTTTTTTAGTTTAATATCTTAGAATTCGCTTTCCTCTCTTGATATAATTTAAACGCGAACTTCATGTTCTTGAAGATGTTATTGTTATTTCTAAATAATATCGCTGACTAAATCTTTCTGAACCGTTATAGTAATTAGCGGAAGTTGACTGCTAGTTTGATCGGCAGGACGCAGATTCGAATTCCGTGTAAGACAGGGATGTTTATATGAATCTTGTCCTTCTCGCAGATACATTATCTGTCTACCCCTGTAATGCACTCTGGGTATGTTTTCGGCGAAGGAACTGCTATAAGATCAATGAATTTGGCTACTCTTGACAAACTGCTTCCGACCTTTTGGATGGGGAGTTGTTGCTGACAAATTTGGAAAATATTGTAAGGAAATTTTCGCTGACAACACATACAGCTTATGATATCGAATTTTGACTCTTCATCCCAAAGAGAAATATACACTTTTGAGAAACTTGCAGCAAATATTACTTTTCTAAGTGTATTTCTACTTTAGTGCATTGAGATGTACCAAATTATCCTGGATATTAGGAGGATGATTAAAAATATCGACTTTGCTGCAGAAATTTTATGTCTGAATGAAAAACTTAATTTTCAGATATTTATCTGAACGGTATTTCTAAACATTTCATTATTACAATCCGGCATTTAGAATAACAAACTTCGCGATTCATTTGCTTTCTTTAAATTACACGAAATTTGTGATTTTTCAGTTTTCTGTCTTAAAATTGCTACTGAATGCTATGTTACAAAATCTTTTCTTTCAAAAACATTCTCAGAGCATCCGTATTTGGGACTTGTTTTAAAATATTCTGTTTTAAGTGATATGTTCTCTTGCTTTTCTTGGCTAAACATAAAACTGCATATAATACATTAAGTCACTGGAACTTTGTTTTTATTATCAAATGGTAGTTATTTTAAGTCAGTTCTTGAACTAATTCTTTACTTGTATAAGTCAGTTATATAAGTTCTTCTCTACAGAGCAGCTAAACTTGCTTTGTATCACGCAGCTGATTACTGTTTTAAGAAAGTCAAGTGTGAGAATTTCAGATTATAAGAAACGGAAATAAAATTTCTTGGGTGATTTTATATGCATTAGAACATAAAGCCAGATTTCGAATATAAGAAAATCAAAGCTGTGCATTGTCTGTACTTTCTCGTAATAACTATTTTGATATCCTGACAAATCTTGGAGCTCTATGTAAAAATAGCGTTGAACTGTTTTTCTCTTACATCAAAAAAGTACAGAGAGATGTAATTTTCCCCTTTTCTTATTTTCCCAACAATAATGAAAATAAGGTTGCAGGAAAATTTTGATCTTAAATTTGAGTTAAAACACCGAATAAATATTATTGGAGGAGTTAAAGCAACAAGAAGCAGCATAATATACTTAAATTTGCAGGACCATTTTCGAAGGTTTAAATGTAGAAACTTATTCTTCAGCTGCAGAAGTGCAAATGAAGAAAGAGAAGCGACTGATAAGCTAAGATAAGGCTTTAAGAATGACAGGAAGGAAGTCAAGCTACTGGCGCCATCTATTGATGAAAAATGAAAACTATTATGAAATGATATCTTTAAAGCTGAGAGTAAAGACGGATTAGATTAGAATCGTGAACTAGAATAGAAATGCCCCTAGAAAATCTAATTCGCGAACCAATTTTTGAATAATTTTGGCTGCAGAAAAATGCAAAATGTGATTTTCTGATTAAAAATTTTGGATAATGGAGTATTTGTGTGTTTGATTTCTTACAACATATGTCTCATGTTCCTTAGCATGCAATTTTAAAGTTCTATGAGTTTGACCAACAAAAAATTTATTGACAGAAGAAAAATTGAAAAAATTGAATTTTTGCAAAACACATGCAGTTTAATAGCTAATCGTTGAAAAGAAAGCAATAAAAACAGAATTCTTATAATCTCCTAAAACGAGAGGGTGTTTTTTGATGTGAACAGATGAGAATTTTTTAACTTCTTGGTCGATAATGTTAGGTGAAAAGTCTTTGTCTATTGAAACTGATTTTAAGTAATTTAAATCTTGATCAAGAGCTGATTTGGAGAAGCAAACGAAATGTACGGAAGACGAAGGAATAGAATGAAACTAACTTCTGTTTAGTAGCATGACATGATCTGAAGCGTGGTGGAAAACAATCAGATGAGGGTTACGGTAAAGATTAGAGCGGTAAATATGTAGCATGTGACCAACATATTCAGGAATGGAAGCGAACTGGATGTTTTAAGTTCAAAAGTGAATTGAATAGAAGGATCAGTAGAATTCATTAAAAAAAGTATTTTATATGAATCATCATTATTGCCGTCAAGCAGTATAAAAGTATCGTCAACATAGTAGAACCAGAGAAGGAATTTTAAAATTTCTAATAATATTGATTTATAATAATGCATATAGATATCAGCAAAGGTAGGACTGTGAAGGCGTCCCATGGCCGTGGTAATACTTATTTTGGAAAACAAAATGTGTTTGTTTCAGACAGAGTAGAGTAAGGGAAATTAGTTCATCAGTTTCGATACAGGAGAAAAGAAATTCTCGGTCTCGTTTGTCGTTTCTGAACATTTAAATGCATCTGCCACTGGAATATTGGAAAATAATAATTTTACATAAAGAACCACTACAAAACTTCTGAGGGAAATGCTTTATACTTTTATAAATCCTTTATACGTTTTATAAACTCTGTTGGATTTTTATATTTTTACTTTTTATAAACTCTGTTGGATATTTTATAACTCTGTTGGAAGTATTGTTAGCTAATAAAATCGAAAAAGTAGAAACTAAATATTTAGTTAAAGGGCACGAGGCAGTGCCTAAATGTGATACAGTAGGGCAGAATGCAATGCCATTTTTATGAATTTTGGGTAGATCTGGCACAATTTGCAACAGATGGCATATACGATTTTTTAAATGGATAGGAAAGATTTGTGAAAATTTAATCGCATTTTTTATTTTGAGATGTCCGAAGTTGAAGGATCTTTAGGGATCAGCTTATATAGGCCTTCGTTTAAGAGTTTAGCGGCACCATCAGTGTAACTGTTTTTGTCTATGACAACTATCTTGCCACCTTTGCCGGTCTTTGAAATGATAATGTCTGAGTTCGAATGAATTTCGCGCAATATAGCTTTTTCGCCTCGCGTTTAGATTAGGGTTCAAAAGTTTACTGTCTCACTTTGTACCTTGATTTCTTTTCTTCCAATAAACATCCAAACCAAAATCGGATATATTAAAAGCTAGCAGAAATTTTCATGTGTAATGAAAAAAGAAGTCAGCCTTCTGTAGGAAATTTTCCGGCAATAACGCTGAGAGGGTTAACTCCAAAAACGTTGATGTTACTTTGACTAACTGGCATTATGTTTGGTTTCTTTCCGTCCGCAGAATAAATTTTGTTGAAAAAAGTTGATTTGTCAAGGAATTTTTTTGAATTCATAGAAATTTTGTTACGAAGATTTTATACGTTCTATCAGCGTGACAGCAAAACGTAGAACATCCCATATGAAACACAAAAGTAATGTTCCTAGAGTATTTATAATAATACATTGCTGCATTTTATTTATAAAAGTGCATTTTGCAATTTTAACAATTTTAAGCCAATCCCAGTTTTAAGAAGTTTTGGGATTAAGAGATAAACATCAATTCCAGATCCACTTTCTTCAACTGAGAATCGACATAATACATACATTCTAAATCATAGATTCCCAAAGTGGTCTATTTATACCCCCAGGGGTGGACTCCAATCTACAAGGAATCTATGTCAACAAACAAAAAAATTGGGGGTAAATGGTCTAGAAATAGGTGTCCGAAATACTGGGTCCCATTTGAGCAAAGCTGGTCCAGAGATTTACCCAGAGCTTTGCAACAACAACGTAGAGGTGTACTACTTGTGCTCCAATGAATTGTTTAATTCGTCAATTATAGTATACACGAGTGTCAGAGACAAACACTGCCTTTGTTTTCTGCATTCTGAGAAGAAAAAGGTAAGCAAATATTTTTTAAATATAAATAGGTAGTTAAGTACAAGTTAAAGGGAATCAAAGTCATCTTTGAACTTTGAGAAAAGTAAGTAAATTAATTTATTTTTTATATAAAATATTCTTTCCGTAATTCTTCTGATTGCGTAGAGATTCCGATCATGTTTACATTCCCGAGTCATTTCTGAGATGTAAAACACGTGCGCCTAAGAATAAGAACAAAGGTAATTCTGACAACTATTTATATTTCGTGGCGATCGAAGCATCTCTGTTTAAAAGCCAATACAATATTTTACATTATAGCTAACATAATTCAATTTCAGACTCATTCTGCTTTTGAATGGATTAAAATATTTTGTTAGTAACACTTTTCTTAAAGGTTTTTTCAGAGTAACTCTATTTAATTTTTGAGTAATTTTTTAACTCTATTTAATTCTATTGTGGCATGAATTAATATTATTATATATTGATAACAATAATGCCTCAATTTAAAAATACCCTGTATATCTAACTGAAGAATAAAATAAGGTTTTACAACTGCAATCAATTCTGAATTGCTATGTCTTATTATGTTGAACCATTTCACCGTTGTAAAAAAAAAAAAAAAAAAATCAAATATTTGCTTTTTTCCCCTTCAAAGATAAACTTTTAGATTCTGAAACTGACCTAGAAATGTTTCCTTTCCCCTTTCAGCTGCTGTCAAGACCTGTTTACAAAACTGCCTACTTGGCACACTCAAGGATGTTGAATATAGTCTCCATACACAGGCGAAAAAATTCTTTTCTTTTCCTTAGTCACTTATCTGAAAATGAACAAACACACACAATCCTCTCAATGCCCGCTGAAAGGGGGCCGGAAGTGTATTCCTATTTCACGACTTTTTAAGTGAACTGTCTTTTGCGTGATCATGATACAATCCTCTGCGGTGGGAACTTGACCAATTAAGCATTCAATCACTTCCATTTTTGCTGGGGGGGGGTTGAAAAACATGAAGCGACAAGTGTATATCGGAGGTAATGATCAAAGCCAGATTTAACCGCGACAAATGTGTGCGCTTACTGACGCCTGAAGATACTTTTCAAATTGACGAGTCTGTCTCGGGTGGGGGAGGGGAATGGTGAAGTCATTAAATAGCTGAATTTTTGTCCTCAAGTATTTGCTGCTAAACATGGCCCAATTGAAAAAGAAATGTAGGCAGTAAAGCGTTGATTATTTGAAATTCGGTTCATTTAATCATTATTGGATAAATACCTGCCTATGCGCCTTTTATTCAACAAAGTTTTAAGCAGTGTCCCTATGAAATCATTTAAGTCTAAGAATCATTCGAGAAGGTGTCATCCTGATAAAACGGGTAGAGATTTAAAATAAATTCAAACATTGAGAGAAAAACTTCAGAAGAGATCCGTGGTGAATAATATGTTTGCTTCGACGTCAAAAAGAAACAATGATTGTGTTCAGGCGTCTTACAATATCGCACTATTTACAGCAAATTTTAGCATAATATCCAGTATTTATTTTTCTCACTAGCATTCTTCTGATAATGCAAGTTTTGTTGGAACTTCAATTTGGCAAAATTTAGCGTGACATTTGATTTTTCGGTGAAACCTTTGTGCTAATTTAATATTTTGCCAAATGTTGACAGCTTAAGTAGGTGGGGTTTTCTGCCATTTATTAAAATTTAGGAGAATAAAACTCTCTGAGGACTACTTTTCAAAAACTTCGAATCTGAAACAACGACTAATCAGAATTTTACTATGGCTTTTTGTGTGGCATGAATTAATATTATTTTGGACTTTAATGTATTTTGAGTTGGTGTATGTATATAACTCAGTTAGTCATTACCAATACATTTTGAGTAAACTTCTTTTCATTACAGGAACGTGATTTTGACATGCATGCAAGTTATTGCTGGAATGAAGCAAGAGCCCAGCGGCTGCTAAAAGAAGGCCCACTGAAAGAATATTTTGATGTAAGTGAAACAAAACAGAATATTTTACTGAAATAGAAAATTATACTTACTCACTTCCGTTTTCAAATATTTCTGAAACTTTTTTTCCCATTAAAATTCAAATAATATATAATCATTTCATTTTTAACTTTAATTCACAAAATAGTAAACTTAAATAATTAGGCAATAAAGGTTAAGATCCTATATTTTAAAGTCGTTAAATATTTTTCATCTGAAATAGCGTTCCTGCGTTCAGAGAAATTACGCATAACCAGTTTTTCTTTTGAATCCTTTTGTGTTTAAATTGCTTATTTGTGTAATTTAAATTTTTGTGATTTTTGAGACGTACTTTCTTAATTTTTCATATTCGAAATGATGAGAAATTTTCCTTATTCATTATAAAGAAGACGATAGCGGAGAAATGCTTGAATCGGCAGGTTTTATCCCAGTTAAGAATCATGAAAATTAATAAAAACGTAACAGAAATTTAATTAAATTTTCAAACGAGAAATTAAAAATAACGTTTTCCTCAAAAATACGTTAGAAGACTCGCAAAAACCCTTTGTTAAATTGTCTCTCATTTGCGAACCTCTTTTTCTTTTTAATCATACCTTGACTTACATTATTATTTCTTTTATTGAGAATTAGAATCTCGTCTGGTTTCATTTCAGTCAAACATCTAGCAGATAACTGAAGTTTAAATTGCGCTAAAAAATGCCATCTGTTTCCAGTAAGTTTGTTGCTGGGTTTCAAAATTTTTAAATATCATGATGATGGGATAAATTTCCGTTTCGTAATAATTTATTGCTAAATTATTTTTTAATTTAAATTTAAGTCATTGAGCCCAAAATGAGTGACGCAGGAAGTAACTAATGGTGGTTTAGCCAGTTTTAGATGTCGATGCAAAACTGAATGCGCGACGTGATTCTGCGAAAAATGAAATACGTTTCATGACTTCAGAATGCCAGCAGCAGTGTGAGCATCTAGATCTGTATGATACAGTAATTTTGTTTTTGTTATCCCCTCAAGTTGCGGATACTATTTCTGTTGTCATACAGGTTTTTTACTGTAAGCTGACAAACTAATAAAAAGGCTTATTTTAAACCTTCTTCTGGACTGGTGTTATTTCTGAGTTTCAAGAACTGAAAGATTAAGACGGGGTGGTAAGTCGCCCGGCTGTCTTCGCGGAGCCAGACATGAACATTTAAAGCGACTAGGTTCCATATAATTGCTATTAACAATTTTAAAAATTCTCTAGACTGATATAAATATAAAACTAATTCTAAATTAAAATCAAATGAATTTAAAACATTAACAATAGAAAGCAAAACTTAATTTCACAAATTAACACGAGAAAAAGTACTGAACTTTCCGGAGATGCCTTTATGAAGTAGATTATTGCAGCAAAGTACTTATAAAATAATAAATTAAAATGGGGAAGATCTCTATGATGAAGAATTAAAAGCGATTTTTAAAGTTTGTTATATGGGAACATGGAACAGTGGAGAAGTAAGTAACATGCCCATAACAAAAAGGAGGAAATAGGATACAAACATTAAATTTCATTTCGGAATATGAAATAAAAGTAAATTATTTTCGAAATTTCGTTGAAATGATTTTAATAGAAAAAATATACAATGAAATGTTTAATAGTATAAAGAACATTCAATTCGTTACGAAAGCTATCACTATTAGAAGCATTGAAACATAACAATATTTCCACAACAAGATCTTTTTATCTATATAACATCGTTCAGATTCAATGTCAATCTCTTTAAATTAGAAAAACTTTGCAAGAATTTTACTCTAAACATTCAGAAGAAACTTTTCTGAAAAGTCACCGCTTTGCCTTAGTGTCTTCTAGAAAAGGCCAAGACCTTGTAAAAATTCATTTCTTTTCCGGCGGACCACATTGTATACATGCATATATATACAGAGAGAGAGAAAGAGATAAATTTTATATAGATATAGATATAATTTTTTAGATGAAAATTTAAAACAGAATACATTATTGTTATACTTTTTATTATTATTCATATATTAATAGAACAGTTAAACATTTATGACTGTACATAAATAACTATGACAATTATAATCAATAAAACAATCGAATAATATTTAATTTATTGTACTCGTAATTAGTGGAAAATTGTTTCTTATCCCTTCCACTTAGTTTTTTAAGTCGATATTTGTACTTATATGTGCGCGTCGTAATTGATGTTGCAGGTTTTCGTCAGTTAAGGACACCACCGTGATTTAAGTTTCGTGAATTCCGTTTTTAGGAGGGGGGGGGGAAGTTTCGTAGACTTAATTTGATCCAAAAGCACTCAGAGTTCTCAAATTAAAAATTTTTCCTTTTATTATGTAAATGTCATAAGAGTCAGTTTTTGATTCTAATGTTTTTACAAATGCTTTTCAAATCGACATAACCCTGTAAATAAATTAGTTCCATTTGAAGATTTTTCTGGAGCCACTCGAGAGTGACGTGGATGAGAGTTGAACATATTTAAAAAATTGTATCATATTAGCCTAAATTGCTGAATCTATTGTCAAATGTTCTAACGTGAAAGAAGATGAAAATCATATGTAATAATAGCCTTTGGAATAAATTGTTCTGCATAATTAAAGTTACTCATAACGTTTGTCATAGTTTGGAATCTTTTAAAATTTATTTTAAGAGATTTTTAAATTTTAAAAAGTATTTTCTAATCCATGAACGATTATTTGCATTTTCAGTTTTTGCAAAAAGTAAAGCATTTCATTAGAATTTGTTTTTTTTATAAGATAAAGTGCGATCCCTTTTTAAAAATCTGATAGTTCATTAATGGTTGAATCTTAACTAATCATAATCCACCTTTTTCTTTCTTGTGGAAATAAGATTGAATTTTTTTCTCTATTCTTTCCAGTAGGTCTCATTAAGTTGAATCACTCTTCGATCCTCGTTGAAAAAATGAGGTTTTTAGGAAAAGTACTATTTAACACTACAATGAAATTTCAGCTTTTATTATGTTGTTTATTCATTTTATGTTATGTTATTTATTCATTTTATGTTGTTTGTCAATTTTTTTATCTTTGCAAAATTTACTTACTCATGAGTTTCCGGCAAGTTGCATGGATCGTCATTCTGTAATTAAAAATATAATATTTAATTTTAATGACGCAACATGATAATTTTTGTATGTATGTGTTAGGTAATCAATTACTACTAAAAATGTATTTTTTTTTCTAATGATGTCTAGGATCACAGTCGAATGATTGACGATGACAAGCTTCTCAGCGACCATTTGAAATTACCAATTCAGAGGCTAAATGATTACCAGCTTCTTCTAAAGGTATCTTTCACTTCTATTTCCATTACAATATCTTTAATATGCATTAAATCTTGGGAAAGTCATTAAAGAAGCAGCTTACTCCCTTATCTAGTCGGTTTATAGTCATATTTTGATAACTATTAAAAGCTTGGATACATGTTTAATATTGAACTAATTTTGAAATTTACAATGTCTCTTCGTCGACTTTAGAATGTAAGTGTCTAACAGATAGATGTATGTTACAACGTCAAAAAGAAAGGGTAATTATTAAAATGTTATTTAGGTTGTAAATGCTATCTTACCCACAAACATAAAAGCTTAAAAGTGTTTCCATTCGGAATGTAGTACGTAACGCTAATGCTTAACAAAATCTAACACTTAATAGAGCTAATACTTTCAAAGCTTAATATGTAACATGTCTAAAATTTAGAGAACCTATTACTTTATCAGGTTCAATGTTCCTTCTAACCTTCTTCGGAAACATACAATGACCTGACTAGGAACAGAGAGCTTACTAAAGCTATGTTCACTAATTGTACGAGTAGTAAGTAGACAGGATACAGACGAAGGGTATACAAAACCCTTTATTTTTTCTTTATATACAATGACTTCCGTACTTCGGAATACAATGACCCTCCACTCGGGGTCTAACGTAAAAGGTATAAAAATAAAAATAAACTCTAATTTAACTTTAGAATAACACACGTGGAAGATTGGCCTTATAATAACAGGAAGCGTATGTAGCACAGAGACTGTGAACACTACAATACGTTTAATTTATCAAGAGGATTAAAACCTCTGGCCTGGAAGGCAAATAGCAACTGCGTAACTTCTAAGGTAAGCGGCCTGCTTCGAACTCACTGCTTCCTCTCTTTCGCTTGGCAAAAAGGCCACACTTAAATACTTGGCGTTCGCCAGACAAACTTTGCATAAAAACCTTCACGCTTAAAATTCTGGCCGGAAGTAGAAAATAAGAAGTGATAGTAAAGATTTAAAATAAAATAAACATTAGTAAAACTTAAGATCCTTACAACTTAACATTCAACTTTTATAATGAATGTACGTTTAACACCAGATTCAAAATCAGAAGAATAAAAAAATTATCTTATGCCAAAAATTATTTTTTAATATATTCTCTCTTAGATAAATACAGATAGGATTCCACTCAATTTTTATGACTTACAATTAAATTTTTAATATTAAGTAAAATTTAATGCATCCAGCGTTAATGAAATTGAAGCTGGAATATATTACAAAAGTTTCATGAGAAAATAAGATCGCTTTCTCATCATTCAAATTTATGTTTATATTTATACTATTCATAATTTTATTTTTAGGAACTTATCAAATATTCCACCCGATTAAATGAAGACACTACAGATTTGCAGAAAGCTTTAGATTTCATTCACAGCATCAATACAAGGACAAAGGATTTGCAACTAATTCAAGCTATACAGGGTTGTCAAGGTGACTTGCTCAAGATTGGCCGTGTAATAAAACATGTGAGTAAAAATCCTTTAGAAAAATATAACACAATATTTCGCCTTTTTTTCATAAACATATTTATAACTTAGTCCTGCATATTTTTACATATATTGTGAATCACATGACTGCAAAATATTTGCTGGAAATTTGTAATACATACTGTACAGATAAAAGTCTTTATGCGTTCTTAAATTCCAAAATCTTGACCGCAGATTGATTCTAATGTTTGCAAAAATGTTTTTAAGGATGTAAATTCTTATGTTTTGATATTTTTAAATTTTAAATGTCAGTTTTGTCAAATTTAAAAATCTAACTTTTTATGTGGTTCTCCAATTTCTATAAAATATATTAAAAGATCATAGTCATTAAAACACACACACACACACACACACAAATGACGCCTTTACGACAGAAATTAACTGAGATATTTAATTTCAAAATTTCGGAATTTTATCATTCCTTTTCTCTTTGTATGGTCGTTAGTTAAAAATTAAAGTTGACTAATTTAAGGTTGATTTTTTTCACATGCTGTAATTAATGCTTTAATTCTTTAATTACTTATGTTATAATTTTGTTATATTAGTGCGCCGAAAGAATTTTCACACAAGTAGATTACGAGTCTTCAAATGCTAAAAGTGCTACGCTATTAATATTCCCATGCAGTTTTATTATTTTATTTTTTAATTTAATAATAATGCAAAAAAAAAATGCATTAAACTAGAAGTATTTTTATCTTTAATGTATACAAAAACTTTCAAATTGGCTACCTGCTAATACTGAAGCCTGCGATAGAACGCGAATTCTCTGAATAAGATCTTTTTGCATGTATGAAAAATTGTTGTTTTAACTTATCTTCACTTGTCTGAGAGTAACATCAGATCAAATCACCAAATTTTATTGCAGGAAAGTAGAAAGAAAGGGTTGCGTCTATCATTAGCTTGGGTTGGGTGCTTTATAGATGTTCGTACAAACTTGAGCAAGGTTCGTCCCAGTTTTGAAGGAGAATCCCCGAGAAACGTATCCAAGAGTCTTCCGCCCTTCCTCCTATTCCATTAGTCTCTTGAGAGGACTTTCGGTTCTATAGCATTCAAATAATATTGATTTGGAGAGTTCGTCCAGAGCAAAAATATTCTGCTGTAGAGGGCGGCCTGTTCCTCTTCCCTCTTGAAATCAATACAGCTTTTATTAAAATCTACGCCAAACATAAGGTAGCTGTTTTAACTAAGTTTAAGTTTTATTTTGCGTGTTTCTCTTCTTTTTACATCGATCTAAAATGCAAACGACTTCAAAAATAAAAATTCGAACTGCCATTGTCTGAAGAAGTAGAGCAGACATTGCGGGGAAAACGAGCCCTTTTGTTTCGATGTTAAAATCGAAACTATTTCAGATTTTATTTCCCCTGTTTATTGTTTATTTGGTACTCCATTCTGTCTCTTCCGATTTATCTTAAACAATTATATAAAGTGTTTCCAGAGGATATGCGAAATGAATGATTTGGAAAAATGTGGTTTCAAAAGAATGGTAACGGGTTGTCAACCCATTGTATGCATAATCACTGACATACGTTAATGGGCGCGCATTTGGCTGGTTAAGTGGGCTTTAGTCAAAATGTTGCAATCTGATCATACTATCATACTCTATAGTGTCTTCTTGTAATCATTCGGATTTGCTTTGTCATAAAAAAAAAGATAAGTAGACTATACTTCTGGTTATATCAAATTGGCATCTGATAATAAGCAGCAACGACTTGCTCTGTGCACTTTCTCACTGCTATATAATTTTGTAAAAGCATCTTTTTAATTGCATATTTATGTATCATGAGAGCTTCATTTAATGCATTCTGAAGCTTACCAGTCTTTTGTCAGAAAGAAACTGCTCACAAAAGATAAGTAGCATCCAGATGTGTGTTTATAAGGTATTTCTCCAACCTTCAAGACGTACCTTCGTGGTGTGGTGGTCTGCACCCTGGGCGCATATTTCAGAGGTCCGCGGTTCGATTCCCGGTGAAAGTGTTGCTAATTTTTCAATCTCTCTTGCCTGCTTCCTAATGTCTCTACAAGCTATAAAAATTTTTACAAAAGGCTTGCCTTTCGTATCGCATGAATAAAATATCAAATTTTAATTTAGTGTTTTACTTTATACAAAAATAAAAATACGATGCATAAACAAGAAAACAGTTTTTGATTTAAAAACATTAAGTCACAAATTATCACGGAAATTACACGAAATAACGAATAAATTTAATTATGAGGCATAACTTATGCTAGAAACTGCCACACGTTTTTTTCCCCCATTCACGTCACTTTTCTAGGAAGTTCTAAGTTATAATTTTTTAAATAGTTTCTGAATAATATTTAGGATTAAATTTTTTTAAAAGGTTTCCCACATGAGAAGATTTTCACTAAATCTGAAATATGTTGTACAGCCAGTTTAGTGCCTCAGCTCAAAATAGTGTCTATTCGTCCGCTGCCTCGCCCCCCCCCAATTCCCTTTTTCCCATTTTATTCGATACTTATAAAAAAATCATTTTTTGATACAGCGGGCACTTACCTCCGTCAATTAAAATGGTTTAAACGAGCGATTTCTGATATTTATTAAATATTTCCTTCATACAATTTACTCTAAACAGAATAATAGGCATGTTCAAAATGTGTATATCTAAATCTAGTAACATGTTTCTTAAATAGTAATTTTTTAATAAGTTTCACGTACTTTCAAAGTAACAGAATTATGGTACCACTGCTTTTAAAAAAAATACAAATATCACAAATGCATAGTTGAGACTAATGTATGTGTTTTATTAGAAGGGCTTGAGTCCTCTTTAAACGCAACCAACCACGGCTCTAGAGGATTTGAGAGCTAGAGGATTTGGTTTGTGGATGTGGTAGTGTTAGAGAGTTTATCAGGTTCAATGTTCCGTCTTACTTTCTTCGGAAACATGCAAGGACCTGACTCGGAACAGAGAGCTTACTAAAGCTATGTTCAATCACTGTGGGAAGTAGACAGGATACACAAGAAGGGTATACAAAACCCTTTATTTTCTCTATTTACAATAACTTCCGTACTTCGGAATACAAAGACTCACTACTTGTGGTCTAAACGCAAGAATATAAAAATAAAACTAAACTCTAATTTAACTTTGAAATAATAAACGTGGAAGATTGGCCTTATATTAACAGGAAGCCGTATGTAGTACAGAGAACTGTGAACACTACAATACATTTAAAGTTATCAAGAGGATTAAACCTCTGGCCTGGAAGGCAACCAGCAACTGAGTAAAACTTCTAAGGTAAGCGGCCTGCTTCTACTAACTGCTTCCTCTCTTTCGCTTGGCAAAAAGCCACAACTTAAATACTTGGCGTTCGCCAGACAAACTTTGCATAAATACATTAACGCTTATAATTCTGGCCGGAAGTAGAAAATAAGAAGTGATAGTAAAGATTTAAAATAAAAAAATAAACGTTAGTAAAACTTAAGATCCTTACATACTTCCCGCCAGAGTTAATTAGTTTGAAACTGAGGTCTAAAACGACCTTGTTGAAAACTTTTAGCTCTAGAATCTAACGCGAGGCCAATCTTTTACAAACATTTTCGCTAGAAACTAGAAATTTAAAAGAAAGAAATTTGTTTTTCCAATAGCAGCTCCCAGGACACACAATTTTTTTTCATCTGTACTGCATCTAAACAGGAGCTTTTATTCAAATCTGGTTCCTTCCAGAGATCTGGAAGGAAAACTAGTTTAATGAAATGTTACACAATGAATTGGCAAGTAACATGTATAATTATATTTCTCTTAACATTCTTATTTCATTCATAACTATTTTAGTTATCTCTCCCCGTGCTCTCTGACATGTGTTGTACAAGAACACCAAACACGAATGTGTTTATGTCTATGTGTTCAACACTTCCTCCTACAATCAAAACACTAACGTGTTAAAATTCAACATACCAAGACCTCGTAACACACCCTAATTTCAACTCTAAACCCTGAGGTACTATTCTGAATCAGAGAGCCTAACTACATCATTCAACCTTTAACACATATTCACCATGATTTAGTCTTTTTACAGTCACACGAATAAAAAAAATTTAACATTACTTTCACTTTTACCATAACACGGTATTTCTTAACATTTAAAATAACAGTTCACATTGTATATAAGAACATATTAACATGCCGTTAATTTTACACATTTGAAAACATACATTAGTAGTACATTGTTAACTTCTATTCTTTTCAAAGCAAGTGCCAATTCTTTCTACATTGAAATAATACATTTCAAAAAGTCTTTCATACTAAAACTTCTTTCTTGCCAGAATGTTTTAAATAATATTTATACAATAACTTTTTACAATATTTAAGTCTTTACACAACGCTATTATACATCAACTTTAGTTTTACGCGCGAGTAATTGAAAAACATAATACCAAAATCGGTAACAACTCATTTCTCGCCCTTTTGGCGATAAAGGTAGACCTCGCATGAGGTAAAACTTGCAGTAAGAATGAAATCTGCCACTTGCAGTAAGAATGAAAGATTAACTTAAGTTTGCAAAGTAACATAAAATTTTACTTATCTTTGTGGTATTCGGCCATTCTTTTCTGGGCCCAGTCTTGAAAGGTAGTGCAGATTGTTGTTTGATTTATCCTCCTTCTTGTACGGGCTCGCCCTTCAGTGCCTTGAAATCTGCCACTTGCAGTAAGAATGAAAGATTAACTTAAGTTTGCAAAGTAACATAAAATTTTACTTATCTTTGTGATATTCGGCCATTCTTTTCTGGGCCCAGTCTTGAAAGGTAGTGCAGATTGTTGTTTGATTTATCCTCCTTATTGTACGGGCTCGCCCTTCAGTGCCTTCCTCTAGATGCTTTCTTTTTTCTCCAGTTCGGTCACCCTTGAATACCTTCTTTTTCGCTTCTACCTGTGGTCTTGGTCGTTTGATGGCAGCTGGTCTTGGTGGAACCGGGAAACTTCTTTCGTGTTCCTGCTTGGACCTCGTTGCTGGCCGTTCAAATTT